AAGGCGCGCTATGTAGCTAGAGGTTTCAGTCAGCGTGAGGGAGTTGACTTCTTTCAGACCTTCGCACCTATCCCGAAGATGACCACTCTTTGGGTGTTACCGCACGTAGCAGCACAAAGAGACTACGAGCTACACTCTCTTGACTTTTCCACTGCCTTCCTTTAGGGTAGCCTACACGAGGAGGTCTGGTTGTGTCGTCCCACTGACTTCACTGGCACTTTCCCTCCTGGGACCCAGTGGAGGCTGAGGCGACCGGTCTACGGTTTCCGTCAGGCTCCTCGTGAGTGGCACGACACCCTTCGTTCTACCCTGTCTGACCTCGGTTTCCAGCCGTCTTCTGCTGACCCGTCGCTGTTTGTTCGTCGTGGCTCCACACCGTTCTTTGTACTGGTCTACGTTGACGACCTGGTTTTCGCCACTGTTGACAGGGTTGTTTTGGCTGACGTAAAGCGCAAACTGCAGAAGAGACACACGTGCACTGACCCTGGTGAGCTGCGCCACTACCTTGGCCTGCAGATCACTACGGGCAGAGCTGCTCGTACCATTACACTCTCAAAGTCACACATGGTGCAACAGGTCCTTCAACGGTTCGAGCTTCAGCACTCCACAGTACAGCGCACACCTCTTACTGTTGACCACAGACTCAGTGGACCCTTTCCTGACGAGCCGTTTGAGCCTAGTGGTCTTTACGCAGAGCTCGTGAGCTACCTCGTATACCTGATGACTTGTACTCGCCTGGACCTCGCCTTCCCTCTCAGCATCCTTGCTCGCTTTGTTGCGCCAGGGAGACACTGTCCTGTTCACAGGACAGCTGCTGTGAGGGTGGCGAAGTACCTAGCGACGACATCAGGCGTGGGGCTGGTTCTTGGAGGGAGACATCCTGTCGTGCTTACTGGACACTGTGACTCTTCTTACGCTGACGACGCCGAGACTCACAGGTCTACTCAGGGGTATTGCTTCAGCCTGGGCTCTATAGCTGTTTCGTGGAGGTCCACGCGTTCCTCCTCTGTCTCGACCTCTACCGCTGAGGCTGAGATCTGTCAGAATATTATTCTTATGTTCTAGCCTGTAGTGGGGTGCTCTATAGCGAGTACAACCCTTCTAGGGTTTGCTATTTGTATCCCCATTACTGCTAGTTCATTCCTCTTTCTTCTTCTAACTTTTGACATGCTATCAGAGCAGGTCGATCCCCTTGGATCGATCCTGTGGGTGGGTTACCACCTCGCTTCCGCTGCTACTTTTTCCTCCCGCCGTGCGCCCCGAGGCGCGCGGCGGTTTTCTGCCCGCCGTGCGCCCCGAGGCGCGCGGCGGTTCTTTGCCCGCTGTGCGCCCCGAGGCGCGCGGCGGGCTTCTGCCCTACGTCACGGCCCCGCCCTGCGTCGCGGCCCAGCCCCTCGAAGCGGCCCCGACCGTCGCGGCCCCGCCCCTCGACGCGGCCCCGCCCTACGTCGCGGCCCCGCCCTGCGTCGCGGCCCCGCCCCTCGAAGCGGCCCCGCCCTATGTCACGGCCCCGCCCCGACCGTCGCGGCCCCGCCCCTCGACGCGGCCCCGCCCTACGTCGCGGCCCCGCCCTGCGTCGCGGCCCCGCCCCTCGAAGCGGCCCCGCCCTACGTCGCGGCCCCGCCCCTCGTCGCGGCCCCCGCCCCGACCGTCGCGGTCCCGCCCCTTGTCGCGGCCCCGCCCTCCAACCAGGCCCGTGGTGGGCCCCTTTCACCACACCGCCCCCCCCCCCCCCCCCCCCCCCCCCTTCCCCCTGCCATTTCCCGTCGTCCGTCGAGGCGACCTGAGGGGGCCAGCTTTCGGGGGCCGCAAGCGGCCCCCTCAGGTCGCCTCGACGGACGACGGGAGGGGCGAGCTGTGGGGTGGCGGGTATGGGGGTGGCCGGTGTGCCTTCCTCCCTTGCTCCTCCTCCTCCTTCGTCTCCCACTGCTGCAGCTGTCGCTGAGGGGGGTGGTTGTGTGGGAGACTGGGGTTTAGGGTTTAAGGGGGGGTGCGTGGGAGTAGAGCTAGCGGTGTAGCAGTGGGTGTGTATCAGGGGGGTGGGACTGTTTGCGGGAGGTTGAGCGGAGGCTGCCGGCTTGTCGTCCGCAGCACCTGTAGTCCGGGGCGCTGTCCCGGTAGCCCAGTCGTAGCCAGCTGTGCCAGCCGCCCGTGGGTCCGTTGCCCGTCCGCCGCTATTTGAGCCGCGGGGCCTGTTACTCCTGTAGTCCGGGCGCTGTCCGGTAGCCGCTGTGCCAGTCTGCCTCCTGTTGCCCGTGTGTCTGCAGCTTCAGCCATCGCCTCCTGTCTCCTCTCCCCTCACTCTCCCTCCTCCTCCTCACTTGCCCGTTGTGACTACCACTAGCTTTGCTTATAATTGTGAACTCTAAACTATTTCTTCTTGAACTTGTGCTCAGAATGTGTGGTGACATTGTGATCCACCCTGAGCTTGTTTTGCTTTGCCTGCTCTGCTGATTACACCCCACTTTGGCTATGGGGGTGTGTCAGAATATTATTCTTATGTTCTAGCCTGTAGTGGGGTGCTCTATAGCGAGTACAACCCTTCTAGGGTTTGCTATTTGTATCCCCATTACTGCTAGTTCATTCCTCTTTCTTCTTCTAACTTTTGACAAGATCTACGCTGGAGCCATGGCTGCACAGGAGTTGCATTGGTTGACCTTCTTGCTCACCGACCTTGGTGAGCGGCCGAGCTTTGCGCCAACCTTGTTCACTGACAACAAGGCGTCGATTCTCCTCTGTCGAGAGCGGCGACTGGAGAGCAGAGTGAAGCACATCAACGTCAGGTACTTTCTTCTGCGAGAGTTGCAGAGGCGCGGGCAGGCTCGCTTCGACTTTGTGGAGCCTGAGGCCAACACTGCAGACATGTTCACCAAGGCGCTTCCGCCTTGTGACCATCAGAGGTGTTGTGTGCAGTTAGGTCTCGTTGACTTAGGTTCTCAATATGCATAGTCTTGAGTTATCTGCTTGCTTTGTTTGTACGCTTTAGATATACCTCTGTGAACTCTTGAACAAGCCTTGTGGCTCTTTTGCTTATGCTCAGAGTGTGTGGTGACATTGTGATCCTCCTTGCGCTTTGTTGTTTTGTGACTGGTATTATGACTGTACGTTGTTGGTTTTGCTTGACACCCCTCACTTAGGCTATGGGGGTGTGTCAGATGTTATAGTCATAGTGATGTGTGTCGTATGGGGTACAACAGTTAGGGTTAGGTTTATGTACCCCAACCAACCTTAGTGAACACCACCATTCCTTTCTTGACACAATACTACTCTGCGATCAACCCTGAGCGATCCTTCGCTAAGTCCCACCTGGGATTGTAACAGATTATAAGCGGCGTCTGCCGAGCTTGGAGGAGTCGGCAGCTTGGTCATTCTTTGGACGTGGATATCTTCCGAAACTGTATCCGCACTGGATGGAGGTACTCTGGATGTGGCCATAAGTTCTTCTCCACAAATCATCGCTGTCGTATATGTGAGATTTAGGTGGCTGGGAAGGCCAGAGGATGCTAACAAGGACGACATTAGGGAGATCGTGAATGTGTGCCACCAACTCCATCGCTGCACCTACGCTGATTTGTGACTTGAGAGAAGGAATTACTGAACAATGGGATATTTAGGAAACAAATACAGAGCACAAAAATAACAACCCTGGTGCTCGGTTCTGCAAGGTTGTAAGGATTTTTCTCGGCATTCCTTACGGAGCCCGACTACATCGCGTACAGCAACAGCCGTTGTTCGCCCGTTACTGCTAACGGAACTTCGCCGACTTCGCGCGCACTGTTTCCCGGCCATGTCGGCCTACGCTTCGGGACTAGCCCGAGCCTCGCTGCCAGCATAGCACTAGCTAGCTCGCACGCACCGCGTTACCGTTTGCATGCTTCGCATATAAATGTCCGCTCATGCCTTCGCTCACATCTTTGTACTCGTTTGACACCTTAGTGCAATTCTCGCTACTTCGATTCATTGCACCCGTAACAAAGGTCAAGCACAACGGTTCTGGATGGAGGTGCGGGGACGGGGCGGGAAGATAGGTAGTTGGATCTCGAAAGTACTGTCCGCGGGCTAAAATTCCTTCCTGGGCGAGCGTAGGTTGGGTCGGGTTGGGCTGGGTTGGTTAGGCTGGGTTGGGCTGGTTTGGGAGGTTCAGTAGCACTGTTACAAAAGTGTCATTTCACGCTCAGAAGGGATTTGTCCGTGTGACATACTCCAGAACCGTTTCAATGATTCATCGCACGCGACGCGAGTTCCTTTAGGCGTAGAGCATAAGCGAGAGTAAGACGGTCACATGTTTCTTCCTTTTCATTGTTGAAGAGAATTTCATCGTCATCGATGGGCTTCTGAGGTGCCGCATCAGCCACACGCCGCTGCTAGTAACGGCGGCACGGAAGCGGCTGGGGCGATTACCCTCGAGCAGCCACACGCCGCTGCTAGTAGCGGCGGCACGGAACCGGCGGTGTCGCCGCGCAGCTATGCGACGGGCCGCGCACAGCATTTTGTAGGCAAAAAACAGCAGAGTCGCTTCGGTATCCCGAATCCCGATTTGTTCTCACACGGCTCAGTCTCCCTCTCCACTCCTCGCCCTCGACTGATCTCCGCTCAGCGGGTCGCGATCCACCTTGCTGCGCTCCGCTTGGGATCAATTCCGTTGAACGGAATTCGCGGTTTCACCCACAGGATTGCGGACATTCCCATGGCGAAACCGCAGAATTTTCGCCTGTACTATTTTGCTCACCTACTGAACGTCATCGGTCGCAGGCTTCTTTCGACAGTTGCAGTTACCTGTTGAGGCGAATCGCCAGTCGCGTCGGTCGGATTAGGATGTGCTGCCATTCGGTTGCATCCACAGGCTACACGTTTAGAGGAGCGGCTGGAAAGACGGAACCGCTGATTTAGGAGGCGGACGTGGGTGTAAAGGCGGAGGATGGCGCTTCCGCTGTTGCTGGTGGCGGTTCGACGACCGATAGTGAGGCGGCGGTGAAGGCGAGTTGAAGGGGGGCCTGCCGATGGGGCTGGCGGAGGCCATGAGGGATGCGCTTGGCGCCACTACCGATGGGAGGGGTGTCGTTGACAAGCTAGATATTGCCACGGTGAGAGGTAGGTGTGTGTGAAAGTCGGTGAGGGGTCGTCGTGGGGTATGGGCGTGCGTGAGAGTCACTCAAGCAGCGGTGATGGGCAGATGAAGGGAAGGTGAGGGGGGTTTGAAGGAGGGTTGAAGGAGGGTTGAAGGGGGGTTGAAGGGGGGTTGAAGGGGGGTTGAAGGGGGGTTGAAGGGGGGTTGAAGGGGGGTTTAAGGGGGGTTGAAGGGGGGGTGCTGGGGCTGGCTGTAGGGTGGAGAGGTGAATATTACCAAGGTGGGAGCCAGTGAGGAGTCACTGCGAGTGGCTGCGGGATTCCCTCCATCTACCTCCCCTCCCCTCCCAAACTCTGATTCCCTCTCCCCACCCAGTCTTTAATCGTAACCCCCTCCCATCACGTCCATCCAGCCTTGCATTCGTGTATCCCACATGCACCAACTCATGACCCCCTGGCATTTGCACTTACTATACAGGCGGCACATTCCTCGCAAAATCACTACCCCTTCCTCTTCCCCCCTGTCCCTTTTCCTCTTATCCTCTCTCCCCCTTTTGTCCCCTTCTTCTCAGCTCCTCACCTGCTTCTACGGATATTCCTGCCCCTGCGGCACTGTCTTCCTCACATCCCTCGACCCACTGCCCCGTCCTCGTTTCTGCCCCTACTGAACTCGTCTCATCAATGCACTGCTCGCCCCCTCTCCCCCCCCTTTACCCCCACCTCCGCACCTGCTTCTCCTACTCGGACTTCTAGCCCACAGGTTCGCACTCATACAGCACTGTCTCCCACACCCCCCTCATAAGTCACTCCCAATTTCCTCCTTTCCATCACCTCCCTCCCCTCCCCATGAGCTCCGCACCGCACCTACATCTCCTGCGCCAATGTCCGGCCCACAGACGTGCGCCCATAGATAAGCCACCCACGTCAGCCCCACCCGGCCCCCACAGCGCAGGTGCACTGTTCACCACGACACTATCCACTCCATTCCCCATAAACTCTCCCTTCCCAACCCAACCCCCACCCCCTCTTCCCCCCCTTCCCCACCCCTTCCAGCTCAACACATTCCTCTCCCACGCCAGCGTCTGCCCCACGGATTCCTGCCCCTTTGGTGGCGCTGCACTGCTCTCCCACGTACTCTCCCCTTTTTCACTGCCTCCAACCCTTTCCCCGTAGTCTAAGCGGGCTCCTGAGGCTGCGGGCTGTTCGCAAGTCCTAGATTGTCGCCTAGTTTGGAATTAGGAGCAACCCGTGGGTTGCTGAGTGCACTCTTTGCCAAGGCTGCACTGCACCTTCCCTTTTACCGCCCGTTACCCGCTTTTTCCCCCTCCCTCCACCAGCTCCGCACCTGCGTCTCCTACACCAACTTCTGCTGCCCCTCGGACTCCCACCCCTTCGGCACTGTCTTGCACATCCCTCTCATAAGCCACTGTGCTGTTCAACCTTCCCCCCCCCCCCCCCCCCCCCCCTCCTCCCCCCCCCCCCCCCCCACTCTCTCCTCACCTCCTCACCCCTACAGCCCCACTGCTTGCCAACGCAGCACCAGGCCCTCTCGAACCCTTCTCTTACCCCCTCCCCTCGTGTTACCTGTACGCCCTCCGCTTTCACTTACCCGCTCCCGCAACTTTACCTATCCCCCATCTGCTTACCCCTTCTTTTATCTTGCACCTCTCCCTCCGCTTACCTGCTCTCCCTCTTCCCCTTCCCTTACCCCCTTCCCGTCCCCCTTCCCTTACCCGCTCCTCTTTCCCGCTACCCACTCCCTCTCTCTTTATCCCCTCCCTCTACCCGTACCCTTTCCCATGTTCTATTCTCCTTCTCCTCCCCGCCTATGTTGGAAAAAACGCTCGGGCTTCTACGCGTATCACGTTTATACGAGAACGTATATACGGAAAAACGTGATACGTTCCGTAATCCGCGATACGTTTCGTCGGGCAGCCTGAAAAAAAAAGAGAAAAAAACTGTTGCCGCTGATTCCGCGATCTGCAATTCTGTGAAACCTAATTTTGAGATTCGAAACTCGAATGCCCCCCTCCCCTCCCCTCCACCGCACATCACCTCACACCACCTCCCAAACCCAACCTTCCCTTACGAGCTGCTCGCACGTCGGCGTGAGTACAACAGCGAATCTAATTTGGCTCACGCCAAGTTTACTGCTATTGCTAGCAGCGGCGTCGCGTCACTTGCATTGCAGATCTTAGCAACCGCAATATTAGGACGATTCTAGCCAACAATTTCGTACTGGCGTAAACCCCACGGGAGTTATCCGCATCAAGTATTGCTTAAATTCTTTCCCTGTAAGCATTCTACGTCAACCGAAATGTTTTTCCCCTGCCCTAGAGATTTTTAACCTGCCCGACGCACCGTATTTCGAGGTTTTTTGTACGCTGGAAAATTGCGTATCGCGTATGTACGATACCGTATAGTTCGTATGCGTTCCGTACGCCATACGCGTATTTTCCAACATAGCTCCCCGCTCCCGCACCCCCCCCCTTACCCCAGTCCAGGCGCCAGGCTCTGCCGCGACCCTTCTTGCGACTCGTTCCCGGCGAAATCAAACCGCGTGGGCTGATTGGAATGGCTGGCTGGATTGCGATGTGCGTGCACGGTGCCGGCATCACCACGCCGCGCGTGTGTCAAGGTGCACGATGACCGCGCCGTGCCCCACCTGGATGATGATTGCCCCCCAGGGTACCTGTGAGTGCGCCTGCGTCACCTGCACCCTCACTTTCCGCCCGCCTGCCTGCCTGCCACTTGTCTCCTGCCTGTCAGAACCCACATGGATCTCATGTCGACCTTACAATCATGTGTCGCCTGCCTCTCTGCCTGAACCCTCCTGCTACCCTTCCCACCGTGGCGCAGCTCCCTTCCCTCCTTCCCTGCTCCCTCCCTCTCTCAACCCTCTCCCCCGTTCACCCCTCCAGCTCCGCACCTGTTACTCCTAGCTGACCCACTGCACTGATTTCCGCCGCTTCTCTCAGCGTCTATTACAATTTCCCACCTTTGTTACGACCACTTCCCATCGCCAATTTGGCGGGTGTGGGAAACTTGTTGGGAACGAGTTGTTGCCGAGTAGTTTTCGACTCCTGGCGTTTTCCCGCGAATTGTGATTGCTTTCCGATACACCTGACAAGTAGAGATCGACTGGCGGCCAATATCATTGATACTCAAATTATGCCAGGCGCGGTTCGCAAACGTAATCAACCGACATTTTCCTGGTAGAGTAACTACATTTACTGGACGTTCTAGTTTTAAGCACATTTTCAAAACAAATCGCCCCCAGCACCTCAACTGCACGTACCCAACAAAGCAGGAAAAATACTAAAATGCTTGGATATTAACCTTTAATAAGCCTTCAAGTGTTTAAAACTATGCCTTGCGCTTGGATTGTCTCAACGAACAAACGACACCGTCCAGCAGAGATTGCTGTTCGCAAACAATTAAAAATAAACTGAATGCGAAAAGGCATCCAGTCCTGATGACATCAACCTTAAACACCTTGTTGCATGATGTTTAAGATTGGTGCCTCTGTTTCATAACATGCCATTCGATGTGGTTTTAATCTTCTTCTGTTCTAGGTCAGCAGGTCCATGGTCGACGGAAGGTTGACGGTTCGACCCCGTTCCGATGAATTATTCCCATTCTGCATCCTTTTCGCTAGTGGTCGCAATTTGCGCTTGATACATTTCTTATTTCTTGGGTAGCTCTTCGACAGAATTGTTCATTGTTAACTAAAGTGACTGTGTTTTGTTTCTGCCACATTTCAGAAGTGTTATTAGCGAAAAAGTGTGATTGAAAAGCGACGACCAATCAGCGTTGAGAAATCGAGGTGAGTACCGATGCAAACTTTCTCTGGCATACTTTGAGTATCAATGATATTGGCCGGATCGACTGGTGCAGAGAATTTCTCCCAAGCCCTCCGAGCTGGTTCGGGAAATTTGAGCGAATGCGCACAGGACAACTAGCGCGTGACGATTTGTTGCAACTTTGTTTCTATTGGCTGCCGGGCCGTCCAAATGCATCATGACGCGCACTCGTTTAGAAGAGAAAACTCGTTAATTTAATCATAAACCTTTATTTGCCCATTATTTGAAATATGATACTAAGGAGGAATGAACACGAGTTTCGACATCATTACTGATAATAGAAACAGTAAATCGAAATAATAGATACAGTACTCGATCACAAAAGATATAAGATTTAAATTTGCTGAAAGTCTTAAAACTTCTGAACAGCCTACAATGCTACATTAGAGTACATAGAAAAGACAATACACTAAAAACGTCAAAAGCTTACACAGCTACAGATCCAAGAACTACCATTAGTTACCAACTCATCTACACCTACAAAAAGAGCCCTAAGCTACAACACAGGTACTAGAGGTCACCCGTAAAGCTCCTCCTGCTCTTCATTCTCATCATAATTCGGCTCCTGTGAGCCTGGCTCGCTCACCAGCTCATCCAAACCAATGTCACCATGCTCGTCTGCAACCAGCTCCTCCTCTGGAATCTCCTTCCAACCAACGAGGCAGACCTTACCGATTCCAAGGCAGTCGTCCGTGCGAGCAGGGCTGACGCTATCCGACTAAATAGTCTGATTAGTCTGACCAATCAGAGCCAGGGTTCTCGTTATCAGGGTAAAATACCCTTTTTGCACTGACTGGCGGCCGCTTTTTTTCAGTTACCCTTTCACAGGCAGGGTAATGGATTTTTTACCCTAGGCCAGAAAGTGTAAGTTTTTTTTCACCCTTTGAAAAACAGCGTAAGTAATTCATTTCCCTGACTGTACACTATACGATCTGAGCCACACTGTTACGGAAAGCTCCGAAGCGTGACGAAACACTATCTTGCCCCTGCAAAATGCTGCTAATAGCTAGACTCGAACTTGCGGTCTTTCGGATCCCATTCGATATCGGACAAACTGAGCCACTAAGTGCTGATGCATACGCACTATATGTTATATAGTCCAATTTTAAAACCAAAATTCCCTGGCCCAACAGACTAACTTTGTTTTTACCCTGCTTTTGTCAGGGAAACAAAATTTTTACCCCACACATCAGGGTTGACTATACCTAGAACCCTGATTACTAAGGGTGGCCCAAAACGAATCTGAAGCCCTGATCAGAGCATTGAGGTTGTGGAAAATGGATTTGCAGAATAATCAATATTTCATCCCTGGAAGGCCTCAGTGTTACCGTATTGTTTGTAGGCCCTTGATATAGTGTAATAGTCATCAGACTTAGTCGTTTCCGGAGTCTGGCTCTACAGAGTATACAGTATGTGGTCCCTGTATGTCGGTGTATTGAGAGGAAGCTTCCCCAAAATTTTTGAAAGTACCCCCCCCCCCCCCAAAAAAAAATAATTTTCCACGCGTAATCATTTCACCACCCCCCGTGGTTGTCTTCTTGTTCGCGTGGTCTCGAAACCACGTAATGTTGACAAAATCTGTTGGTGCGCTGTGCACAGCAAGGCAGTCAGGTGCGGCGTGCTGCGGCCAGTATCGGTATGCCAAGTTTGATGATGACTCTGTAGCCACGCGAACCGCGCCACCCTCACTTAATGTGATGGGTCGATCGCGATTGGTGGCATGGCGCACCAGCTATGTGTGATGGCGTTGTGGCAGATGAATTTGGCCCCGTATTCAAGGCCCGATTCATTCATCAAACCCCACCCCACTCCGTGAGCCATTGTCGTGGCGACGCGGCTTTCGTTCCGTTTGCTGCAGCTGGTTCTCTCCAGGCTGAAGGGCCTCCCCCAGTTTCACATGTTGCTTTCATTCTCGTGCATTCGGTTTCTTGATTCATCGTTCTCTCTCGCCATGGCATCCTTATCTCCCGCGGAGGACTCGCCTGAGGCCGTCCCGCAAAAGCCTCCCGATCGTAGGGTTAGCGGCCTAGACTTCCTTCGATCGAGCATAGCTCTAGTCACTCCAGAACCATTAGTTACCGCTGTTGTTGTTAATACCGAGGAGGTACCGTCGTCCAGCAAGAATCCGCAGCCGGCCCCCAATCCCGCGCATGCTCCAGCGCCGTTCACTCTCCCTCCCGCCATCGCGTCGTCTAGCAAGGGGCCGCAACCTCCTCCCAATCCCGCGCCACCACCAGCGCCGTTCACTCTCCCTCCCGCCATCCCGTCGTCCAGTAAAGCGCTCCCCTCTGCTGTTGGTAGCAGCGGCTGCAACGATGTCGCTCCCGCGTCCGAGGGTCGTACAGCTAAGAAGGCGCGCACTGTCGTACTCCGCGGGAAGTTTCAGCAGAGCACGTTGACCTTTGGCGGTGTGCGCGTGCCACCACCAAGTGCTCCAGAAGACTCCGAGGCCGAACCAGAGGAACCAGAGGAGATACCTGTACGTGCGGGCACCAACTCCCGCGTTCTGTCGAAGGCCGAGGTAATGGAGCAGAAGTACATAGAGGCGAGTGTTAAGTATAACACCCAGTGGTTGCCCAAATTCCCGTGGCTGCTTTTGGTTCGCGCTAAAGACGGTGGTCCCAGTGTAAAGTGCAGCCCGTGTCTCTCGTTCGGCAAAGAGACAACCAAGTACTCAGGTCCAGGCGACGGCGGGCGAGACCTGCAGACGCAGACGATGCGCATCCACGAGCACACGACGGTCCACAAGGAGGCGATGCAGCGTCAGGCAGAGATTGCAGAGGCGATTTCGAACGGCCAGACGAAAATTGATCGTTTCATCAACGCGAATGTTGAGGGTAGGCGGGCGATTCGGCTGATGAGGTCGGTGCAGTTTCTCTCCCAGGAGGACGCGCCCATCAGCATGTTCCCGAAGCTCATGAGGCATCTCGCTGAACAGGACACCCCCGACATGTTGAACAAGAATGAATTGAACTAGCAGTGAAATGAGTACAAGTATGAAAAACTAGGAATGTGTACCCCCTATAGGCTAACCCACTGTAGCCTAAACAACTACAACAACATATATAATGTTTGACACACCCCCATAGGCGAAGTGGGGGAGAACTAGGGGTCACAAGACCAGTCAAGTAAAGCAAAGCAAAGCAAAGCAAGCTCAGGGTGGATCACAACGTCACCACACAGTCCGAGCACAAGTGCAAGGCCACAAGGCCAGTTCACATGCAGGAGTACATATATAAATATAAGACTAAACAAGCAAGAGCAGTGATATATATATATATATATGTAACAGTACAAAGAGAGTTAAGAGGAGAGCAAGTGAGGCAAGACAGACACAAGACCCAGCTGGGTACAGCAGCGCTGATGATCACAAGGCGGAAGTGCCTTGGTGAAGACATCAGCAGTGTTGGCCTCAGAGGCCACGTACGCAAGCCGCAACTGACCACGCTGCTGTAGCTCACGAGCAAGGAAGTAGCGGAGAGCAATGTGCTTTGTTCTGTGCTCCAGTCTCTGCTCCCGACACAAGGCCAGCATGGCCTTGTTGTCGACGTACAGGACTGGAGGAGAACGAGGCGGCTCTCCAAGGTCGGTCAGCAGGTAGGTGAGCCAGCGAAGCTCCTGAGCAGCCATGGCCCCTGCGTAGATCTCAGCCTCACAACTGGAGCCGAGAACAGAAGACGAGCGAGTAGCCCGCCACGAAACAAAGCCGGAACCAAGGCTGAAGGAGTAACCCTGTGACGACCGCTGCGTAGCCTGGTCGTCAGCCCAAGAAGCGTCTGCGTGTCCAGTGAGGACCACTGGACTCCGCCCTCCAAGCACTAGCCCCATGCCCGACGTACTGCACAAGTAGCGCAACACCCTCTTCGCTGCAGCCATGTGCTCTGGTCGGTGTCTCCCAGGAGCAACATAGCGTGCAAGAATGCTAAGAGGGTATGCAAGGTCAGGTCGTGTGCAGGTCATCAGGTACATGAGACAGCCAACAAGCTCTGGGTACGGGCCACTCGAGTCTACGGACTCATCCGAAGGCAGAGCTGAGAGCGAGTGGCTAGTAGACAGAGGAGTGGCCTGAGGCGAGGAGTACGTGAAGCCGAAGCGC